TCAGCAGGCACGACGTGAGCTTCTGCAAGAGCGATGACTGGATGGAGTGACGCATCCAGAGAGTGGTTATGCAGCAGATTGAAGAAGCCAAGAAGGAGAAGGTCGAGACATACACCGCCTCAGCAGGCAACGAGGTGACTTCCTTCATCTCCATGACTCTCCTGGGCATCTCCTCGGTGTATGTCAACCATGAAGAAAAGCTGAAGAAGAAATTTGAACTTCGGAGATCGGACTGATCGTAGACTCAGTGCAAGAGAGTAAAGCAATCATGTGGAAGGCTCCGTATAGACCCGAGATAGCGAGTGCTGAGGAGATCCCGGTGACTGTTTCCTTCCTCCGCAATGCACAAGCGGAGAAGCTCTGGCAGGGAAGAGAGGACTTCGCGATCGATGGTCGCAAGTTCACAGCTGTACATGTGAGCATCGTGCACGATCGATCTTTCAAGATTCGAGCCAATTGCCGTCTATCGCTATCAGCTGCTGCGCCAGTCCCTTGCAGCGGTCCAACTCCAGCCGCTGGCAGGCATGCTGGTCGCTGGGGCGCCAGGACAGCAAGTCCACAAAGGCTTAGGTCAGAAAGGCTTCATCGCTGTAGGGGCCAACGTCATCTGGAGACAGAGGGAGGTGGAGTGGATCGTCTCCTCGAGCTGCCCAGAGGCGAATGATACAGCATTTCGAGCTTTCCGAGAGAGCGAAGCGATGGAGGGAGTACACCTGACTCTGTTCAGCGAGGACCCGAAGATCAGAGAGGCGCTCGCAGTCGAGTTGACAGCTGATCGCTTTGTGTCCAGAAATAAGTTGAAGAAGGCATCAAGGATGCAGAAGAAGGCAGGCGGCAAGGACGGCAAGGAGATCAAGATCATCATCAAGTCGACGGCGGCATCTGGTCGCTTCACGAGGAAGGAGATGGAGGGGCTGTGCAACGGCGGCAACACGTCCATCGCAAGAGTCAAGAGAGTCTTGTTGGAGATCGCTAACAGGCTCGAGATCAACGTTGAAGGCTGGTTTAGGGTTTAGGGTTTAGGGTTTAGGGTTTAGGGTTTAGGGTTTAGGGTTTAGGGTTTAGGGTTTAGGGTTTAGGGTTTAGGGTTTAGGGTTTAGGGTTTAGGGTTTAGGGTTTAGGGTTTAGGGTTTAGGGTTTAGGGTTTAGGGTTTAGGGTTTAGGGTTTAGGGTTTAGGC